TGGTGAAACCTTGTTTCTACTAAAAATACAAAAATTAGCCAGCTGTCGTGGCAGGCACGTGTAATCCCATCTACTTGGGAGGCTGAGGTGGGAGGCTCACTTGAGCCTGGGAGATAGATGTTGCAGTGAGCTGAGATGATGCCACTGCAGTCCAGCCTGGACAACAGAGCAAGACTCCATCTAAAAAAAAAAAATTAGGTCTGATAGGATCTAATAGGGTTAAGAACACAGACATTTATGTTTCCTTTCATTCTTCTAAAAACTCTGTTGGGTAGATACTTTTATTTATTTTTTGATAGGAGAGGAGACTTAGGCTTAGAAAGGCAAAATAACTTGTCCAAGGTCTCTGAGATCTTTAATTAAGCTTGATTACAAGGTGGCTGACACCCTGTATCCCACCACTGATGTCTCGCAAAATGTCCCTTTATTCTGTCAATGAGTATGCACGGTGCAGCTGTGAGCAGTGACAGTGCTGGGTGCGGTGTAGAAGGTAGAAATATGTCAATCACAGTCCCTACCCTCCAGGAGAGGAGAGAAGATTTGCTAGAAGACCAGAGGCCAAGTACAACCCAGCAGCATCATTGTCATCAGAGTAGCACAAAAGCAGGAGGCTTTGATAATTTTTCTGAAGCAGCTCTTCTGCTGAAGAGACCTAGAAAGGAGGAGGACATGGAAGAAGTACATTGGCTAGAGGCTTTGGGATGGGTGGAAATTGGACAGGGTGAGGAGAGGCGGGGTGGGCTGAGGAGGAGGGAATTGGGCATAACTCATTTTGCTTAAGCAAAGGCAGACCAGTTTGCCTGGATGGAGCACCCAGGTTAGACTGTAACATAATCAAATTCCTGAGAACAGAATGACTGTAAGACAAGCATCCAAGTTGATATCACAGGTCACCAGATATACATCAAAGACAGGATGAGGAAGCAGGCAGGTTAGCACAGTGACATACTAGATGGCAAATAATTTTGTACTTTTATGACAAACTAAGACTTAAGGATGTTCTTTGCCACATTGTTTATGCTAGGGAAGCGTTAGAATCCACAGAAATATCCAGAAATAAGAAAATAAGTGCACAGTTTTGCTACATTCAGCTATTTAGCATACTATTTATTTAGCCTGGTTTCATTAACAAGTCAAGGTTATACACAAAGAAAGTGAGGAGTGGGAGAGGTTGGGTAGGGGCTGGAACAAGATACTGTTGCAACCTCAAAGGGACATCAGAGATACAGCCCATTGCAAAGCATGGTTCTTGATTGGATCTTGGTTTGAATAAACCATCTATAAAAGAAATTGTGGAAAACAAGTGAAAATTTCTATATGGAGCAAGTATTAGATGATATTAAGAAATTATTGTGGGCTAGGTGTGGTGGCTCATGCCTGTAATCCCAGCACCTTGGGAAGCTGAGGTGGGCAGATCACTTGAGGTCAGTTCAAGACCAGCCTGGACAACATGGCAAAACCCTGTCTCTATTAAAAATACAAAAATTAGCATGCGTGGTGGCACGTGCTTGTAGTCCCAGCTACTTGGGAGGCTGAGACACAAGAATCGCTTGAACCTGGGAGATGGAGTTTGCAGTGAGCCAAGGTCGAGCCACTGCATTCCAGCTGGGGTGACAGAGAGAGACTCCATCTCAGAAAAAAAAAAAAGAAGAAGAAGAAATGAAATTTGAAGTTATGTAGGAAAACATCCCTTTTTGGGATGTATATGGATGCGTTTAGAACTGAAATGTCATGATGTCTGCAATTTACTTAAAAATACTTCAGCAACAAAGTAGGTGAAGTCAACACATCAAATGTTAACAGCTGTTATCTAGGAGATGGGTATGGAGGTGTTCATTATCCTACTTTTTCTACTTTTCTATCTATGGTTAAAAATTTCCATAATAAAAAGTACAAAGCAAAAGAGAAAAAGAAAAAAATAATGTTTATAAATAATTTTAGTGATATAGAAAAATACTATGATATAATGTTAGGTAAAAGAAAAATTCAACCAAATTAGCGTTTTCAACCAAAATTAGCATCAAAATTTATATATATAAAATTTTGGTTCTTATATAAAATGTTATCTATACAGTATATATATATATTTTGTATATACAGTAGTATACAATATAGTCTTAACATTGCTTTAAAAATGAATAGGTGCAAGTTATGAAACACTCATCAAGGGCCAGGTCCTGGGGATGATGTTGGTATTAGACTGTTCTCGCACCGCTATATAAAACTACCTGAGATTGGGTAACTTATAAAGAAAAGAGGTGTAATTGGCTCATAGTTCCACAGGCTGTACAGGATGCACGGCTGGGGAGGCCTCAGGAAACTTACAATCATGGCGGAAGGTGAAGAGGAAGGAGGCACATCTTACATGGCTGGAGCAGAAGGGAGAGTGGAGGGGGATGTTCTACACACTTTGAAACAATCAGATTTTGTGAGAACTCACTTACTATAACGCAAACAGCAAGGGGGAGATTCCATCCCCATGATCCAATCACCTCCCACTAGGTCCCTCCTCCAACACTGGGGATTACAATTCCACATGAGGTTTGGGTAGGGACACAGAGCCAAACCATATCAATGTTTAATCCACATTGTAAATAATTTCCCCTGACCCCATCAGCTGGTCAACAATCGAGCCAAGACTTGAACCCAGACTCAGCCCATTCCAAAACCCATGCTTTTTCCCTATACCAGGAGTTGGCAGGCTCTCTTGGTAAGGGGCCAGATAGTAAATATTTTTTGGCTTTGAGGACCATATGGTCTCTATTACAACTACTCAATGATCCTATTGTAGCAGAAGAACAACCATAGATAATGCATAGCTGAATGTGTGTGGCTGACTTCCAATAAAACTTTATTTACAAAAACAGGTGATGGGCCAGATTTAGCCTGGGGCTATAATTTGCCCACTCCTGCCCTATGAACATGATGCTGCCTTTCAAAGCATTCAGTACACACATACATACAGACACAACCAGAGACCAGGAAAAAAAAATCATGCTTAATCATAATTCTTTCGGTCATACTTTTCTGTATTTCCCAAATTTTCTAACGTGTTCTGTTACTTGTATGTATTACTCTTATATATATGTATTTATTTTTACAACTTCTTTGATTTACTTTCTGGGAGGAGAAATTTTCTATAACGCATTTACATAGTCCCAAATTGAAAGGACACAAAGGCTGATTTGTGAAAAGTCTCCTTCCCACCTATGTACCAAGTCACCTCTGTCCCTTCCCCACAGGCAACCAATGCTTTTCCACCTTTGTATTCTTCCAGAGTGTGTTACCCACATGCAGCCAAGTTAGCAAGGCCACCACTGTGTCGCACAACTCCAAGAGACATGGTTTATATTGAGCTCCTGGAATGCCACTGACATGGAATACAATGGAATTGTGCCCCCTGGAGTTGTGTAATGCAGCAGTCTCACCAAAGATGTGTGTGTGTGTGTGTATCTATACACTTATAAATATATGTAGTGATATATATGTGCATTTTTTCTACTGCCCCTTTTTCAACCAAAATTAGCATATTATATACCATGCTCTGCATCTGATGTTTTTTCACTTAGTAATATATTTTCATCCTTGTTTGATACAAGTTTATAAACTGCCCTCATTTTTTTTGATGATGATGATGATGATAACGGTCTTGGTGTGGGCATCACAAAGGAATAGTAAGTGACCATTGCCACTTGCATTCCAGGGATTGTTCTAAGCATTTGCATATAGGGCATTCATTCCTCCAGCACTCACAGCGACCCCATGAGATAGGCACAGAGAGATGAATGTACTGACCCACAGTCACAGCTGGTATGTGCTCACCTCTGAGATTAAAAAAGAACTCTTCCCTGGTTCCTTCTAGTACTTGGATGGGTTGTGCCATGTATTTAAATCTTTTCTCCATTTGGAATTCTTCCTGCAGTTAACTATGACTGCAGCCTTGTTTTTCCTTGATGGCTCCTGTTATTCCCAGCACCATTTCCCCACTGTCTCCAGATGCCACCTTTCCCACACGTGAAAGTCTTTTTTTTTTTTTTTTTTTTTTTTGAGACGGAGTCTCGCTCTGTCGCCCAGGCTGGAGTGCAGTGGCCGGATCTCAGCTCACTGCAAGCTCCGCCTCCCGGGTTCACGCCATTCTCCTGCCTCAGCCTCCCGAGTAGCTGGGACTACAGGCGCCCGCCACTGCGCCCGGCTAGTTTTTTGTATTTTTAGTAGAGACGGGGTTTCACCGTGTTAGCCAAGATGGTCTCGATCTCCTGACCTCGTGATCCGCCCATCTCGGCCTCCCAAAGTGCTGGGATTACAGGCTTGAGCCACCGCGCCCGGCCCCCACACGTGAAAGTCTTGAAGGATTTGGGCCTATTGCTAGACTTTCTTTCTGTTTCATTGTTTTGTCCGTGTCATGAAGCGCCAGTGCCATACTCTTAATTCCTGAGGTTTTAGAATCTGTGCTAGTATCTGGTAGAGTTTTATCTCTTCATTACTTCCCTTTTCCAGAAATATCCTGGATAGTCTTGGCTTGTTTATTTTTCCACATTGTTTTTATTGTGTCAAAATATACATTCCATAAAATTTACCATTTTAACCATGTTAAAGTGTACAATTTGGTGATATTAACTACATTCACACTGTTGCATTACCATCACCGCTATGCATTTCCAGGGCATTTAAATCTATTTTCAGGCTGGGCATAGTGGTTCATGCCTGTAATCCCAGCACTTTGGGAGGCCAAGGCAGATGGATCACTTGAGGTCAGGAGTTCGAGACTAGCCTGACCAACTTGGTGAAACCCCCGTCTCTACTAAAAATACAAAAATTAGCTGAGTGTGGTGGTGGGTGCCTGTTATCCCAGCTACCTGGGAGGCTGAAGCAGGAGAATCACTTGAACCTGGGAGGCAGAGGTTGCAGTGAGCTGAGATCGCACCATTGCACTCCAGCCTGGGCGACAGAGCAAGACTCCATCTCAAAAAATAAAATAAAATTAATAAATCTATTTCCAGAACTTTTTAGAAATCATCACTTCTCAGCCTTTTGGCTAAGATCTAGTGCAGAACTTTATCATTCCAAACTGAAATTCTATACCCATTAAACACTAACTCCCATTCTCCCCTTCCCCAAGTCCCTGGCAGACACCGTTCTGTCTGTAGGAATTTGACTACTCTGGGTGTAGCTCATATAAGTGGAATCGTATAATATTTATCTTCTGGTATCTGGCTTATTTCACTTAGCATAGTGTCTTCAAGGCCCATCCACATCATAGCATGCATGTATCACTCCTTTATTCCTTTTTATGGCTCAATAATATGCCATTTATATATGTACCACCTATATATATTTGTTTTGTTTATCACTTCATCTGTTGATGGACACTTGGATCTTGTGTTGTTTCCACCATTTGGCTATTGTGAATAATGCTGCTGTGAACACTGGTGTACTCCAGATTAATTTCAGAGTCAGTTTGTCCAGGACCAAGCAAAACATTCTTCTATTACTTTTATAATTACTCTCTCTCTTCCCCAGTTTCCCTTCATGCCTCCCAATGGTCATTCATTATCTTGTTCGATCCCGACATGCCCCAGATACCTTTCTGGACGTATCGTCCATCACTGCGGTGCCGCCTGTGGTTCTGCCTGCCCTTGCCTGCCTTCCCCTTCCTGGCAAAGCTGTGCAGCTGCTCTCCAGGCATTTACTTGGAAAACCACTTTCCTTTGCTAGCCAGCTTCATTGGTCCTGAGGGACTTTACTGGAACTTCTGGTAATAAATTGCTCTCCTTGCACCTACCTGCAGACTGTACCTGCCTCCAGCCTAATAGGGCTCTCCAGGCTCCGAAACATGCCCTGGCTTGCCTGCCCCGGAAGGCCCTCCTTGCCAGCCACCTCCAGCACTGGTCCCTCTGGGGAGTCTTTGTGCCTCTCTTGTCATAACTTCAGGCTTCTGGCCCCCTTTCCCCTGCCACTTTGCCCCTCCATCCTGTTTCAGAGACACCTTTGCTCTTTCCTGATCTGTCTGTGGCTATCCTCAGCCTGGGCACAGGTGGCACACCTCTCACTTCTCCACCACCCTCTGCACCTAGCACACTGTTTTCCATATAATGGGTGCTGGTTTGAATTGGGTTAAATCAAGATCATCTCCCTCTGCAGGCTTAGGAGCAAGTAAAGCAAATAAAGCCCTCCTAGGCACAGGACAATCCTGCTGCCACTCCCACCATCCTGGCAGCTCATGGTGGACCTCAGGGAATTGTAACTAACACCATCCTGTTGGTGACCTGAGACATCCAGGCACAGCCTGCTTCCCGGAAGGTCCAGCTTTATATTCTGATCCTGGTTACCTGCAAGGTCGCCTGTGTTTTCCTGGTTCCCTGTGCCAGAGACACCACTTCCCAGTCCAACTCTGTGATGAGTTCTGACGGCAGGTGGGGAGTGGGTTACAAACGGGATCTAATTCATGCCTGGCTCACTGTGTGGTCAGCTCTTCACCCTTCAGTTGCAGCTCTCTTGGCAAAAAGGTCTCTGCGGTCTGATTTTTTGTGAACATGCGCATATTTGTGTGTTTCATTGCATTTCATGTTCATCTTAATGGTTTTTTTCTCTTTATTTCTAGGCGTTTAAAATTCACTTATTCAACAAATGTTTTCTGGGCACTTGCTTTGTGCTAGGCTTGTGCCACAAGTAAGATGACAGGCAAAGTCTCTTCTCTCTTAGATAGGGGGCGAGAAGCAGGCAATTAACAAGGAAACAGAAATTAGCACAATAATTTCAGAATGAGAAGTGCTAGGAAGAAGAAAAAATAGAATGACAGAAAATGATTTGGGAATAGGTGGAAAATATTTTAGATTTTGGTATTAAACTTCTCTTCTCCCTAGACTTTACGGACAGTTGTTAAAGAGAGAGGGAAACTTTCCTACATCAATGAGTCCACCTTGTAATTTAAATAATTGCATCTTTAATAGGTCTCTTTAGTTGGTATTTGAATGTTGAGCTTTTTAAAAATAAGCCGTTTTTTGGAAGAGAATTATAGAAATGTAAAGTTTATTCATTCAACGAATACTTGTTGATCTCCTACCACGTGTTGGCATTGTTCTAGGTGCTGGAGGTATGGTAAAGGGTGAAACAGATGAGGCCTTGTTCCATGGAGTTTCCAGACAATTCTCTAGAAAGAAATAAGCAAAATAACTTCACATGGTGTTGGATCCTATGCAGGAAATAAATAAAACAATGGGTAGGGAGGCAACTTTGGAGAGATTGGTCAGAGAAAGCCTTGTGAGGAGGTGGTATTTGAACTAAGAGTTGAAGGAGGATAAAGATACGGAGAAAAGGGAACTCATACATTGTTGGTGGGAATGTAACTTAGTACAGCCTCTATAGAAAACAGTATGGAGATTTCTCAAAGAACTAAAAATAGAACTACCGTTTGATCCAGCAATCCCACCACTGGTAACCTTTAACAGTATATACCCAAAGGAAAATAAATTGGTATATCAAAAAGATACCTGCACTTGTAGGTTTATCATAGCACTATCTACAATAGCAAAGATATGGAATCAACCTAAGTGTCCATCAACAAAGAACTGGATAAAGAAAATGTGGTGGCCGGGTGCGGTGGCTTAAGCCTGTAATTCCAGCACTTTGGGAGGCCGAGACGGGTGGATCACGAGGTCAGGAGATCGAGACCATCCTGACTAACACGGTGAAACCCTGTCTCCACTAAAAATACAAAAAAAAAAATTAGCCGGGTGTGGTGGTGGGCACCTGTAGTCCCAGATACTTGGGAGGCTGAGGCAAGGAGAATGGCGTGAACTCAGGAGGCGGAGCTTGCAGTGAGCCGAGATCATGCCACTGCACTCCAGCCTGGGTGACAGGGCGAGACTCCGTCTCAAAAAAAAAAAAAAAAAAGAAAATGTGGTACATGTGCACAATAAAGTACACTCAGTCATTAAAAAAAATCAAACAGCAGCAACATGGATGGAATTGCTGGAAGACATTATCCCAGGTGAAACAAGCTGGAGACAGAAAGACAAACACTGCATGTTTTCACTTATAAGTGGGAGCTAAATCATGTGTACACATGGATGTAGGGTGTGCAATAACAGACAATGGAGACTTGAAAGAGTGAGGGGGCCGGGCATGGTGGCTCACGCCTGTAATCCCAGCACTTTGGGAGGCCGAGGTGGGTGGATCAACTGAAGTCAGGAGTTTGAGACCAGCCTGGCCAGCACATTTAGTAGAGACGTGAAACCCCGTCTCTACTAAAAATACAAAAATTAGCCAGGCATGGTGATATGCACCTATAATCCCAGCTACTCAGGAGGCTGAAGCAGGAGAATTGCTTGAACCCGGGAGGTGGAGGTTGGAGTGAGCCGAGATTGCACCATTGCACTCCAGCCTGGGCAACAAGAGCAAAACTCGGTCTCAAAAAAGAAAAAAGAAAAAAGAAAAAAGAAAAAAGGGTGAGAGGATGGGGGAAGTGAATGATAAGAGACTACTTAAATGGTACAATGTATTTGAGTGATAAATACCGTAAAAACCCTGACTTTGCCACTATGTGATCTATGCATGTAACAAAATTACACATGTAACTTATAAATTTATATAAATAAACTAAAAAAATTTTTTAAGTTAGCAAAGAACTTTTTTAAAAGAAGAATAAGCAGATACCCCACATAGTGAGTGGAGAAAGAACATCCAGGCAAAAGGAACAAAGAGCATATGCAAAGGGCTTGAAGAAGGAAACAGCTTGTTTTGTTTAAGAAATGATAGAGGACTGGGCGTGGTGGCTCACGCCTGTAATCCTAGCACTTTGGGAGGCCGAGGCAGGTGGATCGCTTGAGCCTAAGAGTTTGGGACCAGCCCGAGCAACATGGCGAAACCACCAAAATTAGCCGGGTTTGGTGGCATGCAACTGTAGTCCCAGCTACTCAGGAGGCTGAGGTGGGAGGATCACCTGAGCCCAGGAGGTCAAGGCTGTGGTGTGCCGTGATCATGCTACCGCACTCCAGCCTGGATGACAGAGTGAGAACCTGCCTCAAAATAAATAAATAAATAAATAAATAAATAAAATATAAATGAAAGAGATAATAGAGGATGGTGGTATAACTTGAGGTTGGAAAAGCAGACCTAGAACATACTATGGAAGGTCTTTTAGGTGACAGCAAGGGGGTTTGATGCAGTGGGAAGCTGTTGGAGGGATCTGACCTGCATCTCATAAAGACCTCTTTGGCTACTCTGAGGGAAACAGACATTTTAGGGAGGTTCCAGAAGTCAAGGCAGAGGAAGAGCTAGTCTATAAGGAGGACCCCCTTTGTGAAAAATCACCTATGAAAGAAGCCAACATACAAAACATACACTGGAAGTGATCAAGACTTCTGGGAGCAGCCAGGAGGTGGGATCTCAAGTCCAGATGTTGAATGAGTTGGGAGATTATATGGGACAGATCCAGAAGCTGATGAGGGGCCCAGGATGCAGATGAAGGAGACGGGATGAGCAGGCAAATGCCATTTCTTTTCATTCTGCCTATTTTGCTTGAGTCACCAGTTTGGTAAGGGAAGAGTTTCAACCATCTGCAAGTAATCCAAATGCTTTTACTAACCTGCCTACCCATCCACACCCCCACCAAAAAAATAAAAAAATAAAAAAATAAATAAGCCAACCCCAGAGCTTGTATGCCTGCATTCTCCACAATCATTTCTCTGTGTTACAGCTCTTGTCATCTTACATTATACATGAATAACTAATCAACCAAACACAAACCCACTGATGGAAAAAAATGCATGTTGGATCTAGAATGTGAGCAGGGTAAAGAGTAATATTAATTTCACTGGCAAATAACAAAATGGGAGCAAACATGAAGGATGTTAAGACAAGACATGTTTTTGAATGCTTCTGGGAATGGAAACTCTCCAAGAATCAAGGGAAAGGGGAAGAAGGTTGGTCATATTTGGAGTGCACTAATACCAGTTCTCTTTTCTTCTGGTATGCATATGTGACTACCTGCAACATCATCCTGGGCCAGGCCAACCGGTCATTTAAACCACCATGCTGTCTGCCTCACCTAGTCGAACCGTTCGTATAATAATCTTCCACTATTCCTCAATGGACATACAGGTGTTAGTCTTAACGCACCAATATTGCAGTAGGCTGGAACAAAACCTTTTGCTCTTTGAATGTCCACAGTGAGTAACACCATGCTAGGTATGTAGTAGGTGCTCAATAAATGTATCTTTCACACACTTCCTAAATGAAGCCTATTTCTTCCTTCATCATTTTCCTGAAAGATCTTTCTTGACCACTAAGGATGAACTCCTCATCTCCATATCCAGTGAGTGGTTTAGAAAGGTTTTAGTCTTCCTCCTCCTTGACTTCATAATGGCATCTGACACTGTTGTGACACTTCAGTTGTCTTCTGTGACTCTGAACTTTTCTGGTTCTAATCTTTTCTCCCTGATGGCCTCTCTACCCTGACCTCCAATGATTTCTTTTCCTGTTTCTGCACTTGAAAGTCCATACTCCACAAGGACTCTGCTTTTCTGTCTTGTCACTCTTTCTTTATGAGAAATTAATTGTATCTCCTTTCAAATCAATGCATATATCTATCATCCTCTGTCACATTACATGCAAAGTATCTGCTTATGGACCTGTCTGTCCAACTAGACTTCAAGCTCCTCACAAACAGATCCCTCACTGTGTTCGTCTCTGTGCCTCCAGTACCTGGCACAGAGCTGGGCACTCAGTGAATGCTCCGTACACATGGACCCAACTGATCCATTCTCAAATTATGCTTGGAGTTGGCAGATTGGGCAGAAATTATTACCCCTATTATATAGAGAGAGGACCCCAATGCTCAAGGAGGTTAAGTAAACATTAGAAACATGATTCCTGCGACTGGCTACGGAGACTCCGTGTAATAATCATTCTGGTATTGCCAATTGCAAAAGGACTGTAAAGCTAATAGAGATGCTGTCTAAATACCGACATCCAATCCTTTCATGCTCTTCTGAGCAGGCTTGAATTTTCCAGTGCCTCTCTTAAAATACAGCCCGCAGGACTGAGCATAAAACTGCATGTGGCCTGACCTGCCAGCACGCGCTGGGAGTATTGCTTCCCTCCTTCCACACTCTGCTGTGCTATTAATAGAGCCTCAGATTGCATTAGGGTTCTCAACAGCCTCCTCGCACTGTAGGTTCACATCAAGCCGGTGATCAGCTAACCCCCCCGGGGCTTTCTCATGCAAGGCCTTCTGTCAGGCCAGGCCTCCCCAGCAGTCACTTGGGCAATGAATGTTTTTGAATGCTCATGATTATTTGTGACTTAGACTAGAAGGTACAACACCACATCATGCCCTCCTTTCTCATGTGGCATTTTGCTGACTGGGTGATGGGGTCTTGGGGGGTCCTGTTCAGAACCCAGAGGTGTGGCCAGCCCCTGGGGGTCACCAGCATCATCAAACCCACAAAAGTAAGAGGATGATGGCAAAATTAATTTTCTGGCTCACTTCAAATTATTCTTAGGTTCATCCCTACTCCTCTTGGATTAGGGCCCTTTCTTGGTCTTGTTCTAATGCTGGGTGTTTGTATGCACAGCCTCTTTTCCCTCCCACCCATGGACATGGCCACATTTTGATTTCTCATGCCCTTTCCAAATAGTAGTAGTATTTTTAGCATGATTATCTTGCTCAGAAATTGACTGTACAGTCTATCCCCTATTGTCTTCACATCTAACACTTTTCTTTTTTCCCTCTGCCTCTCTATGCATCAATACCACCTTTGGCTAAATAGATTTGATTTTGAACTATTTGAATTCTCCCTTCATAGATGACAGCCCTTTTTCCCTCTCCTTCCTTCCCTTCAATTAGTTTTTTCAGCCACTTGGAATCAGCTGATGGGTAATTGTAGAAATTGCAACGTGGGCTACTGTGGTGGGTCTCAGTGTCAACTCCAGGACACTTCTGAATCTGGAGGGCTCTGGTTTCAGAATCTGATAGCCCGGCCCTGAACTCTGGCATGTGGGGCTGAGACAGGAGACATAGCTTCTCTTTGCTCGGCCAGTAGAGGGAACTGAAATGTGGGGCGCAAGAAGGCGTTTCCCCCGTTCGCCAGACGAGGGCGCTCATACCCATAGTCCTCCAAAGTTGGAATTTCTCACCCCAAAACAGATCTTGTCCGGTTGGCCTCCTTGTAACCCAAACATATGATGGGATGACATTACAGCTGTGCTACTGATTGCTGCTTTGACCGCCTCCTATGCTGTGTAAATGGCCAAAAGCAAAGAATTATTAAAAAGCAGGCCCAATGTTGCCCAAGCTCATGTGTGGTTTGTGGGTCTGTGTGTTTGCTCCTGGCAAATTCGCAAGCAGATGGGACTCCGAGGCAAGGCGTGGAAGTGACGATGGAAATGTTGGAAATTCACTGACATAACTTGTAGAGTGTGTGAAGCCTGGTGCACGGACCCTGCGTATCTGCAGCTGCGATACTTAGATTTCGGTTTGGCAAGGCAGGTCACGGTGGAGATGGGGCAAACTGCAAGGGTGGTGGAAAGGAGGAAGGGAAGGTGACGGTGGCCCTCTGTCAACTGTTTCCAGGTGGAGTTGAAAGGTGTAATCATTTTCTTCTGGGGCCTCCGCACCTTTCATCAAGGCGAAGTTGGTGACTGGTTTAAAAAGAAGATTAAAAAAATTAACCTCGAGAGGCCAAAGGAGAAAATGGTTTCCAGGTGGAAAGGGATTGACAGAATGGTGCTCTTGTGCTGTGACTCCGAACTCCGAACTCCGTGGAGCATTCCAGTGGGACACTGTACTCCCACCCCTCCAGGCAGCACTGGGAGGCAGCCAAGTCTAGGAGACAGAGGGCTCCCTAACTGCCAAGCAGTGAAGATGTTTAATAAAATATTTACCTACACGTTTAAGAATAATGATGACAGCATGACAAACAGTGGTGAAACAGCTTTAGGGGACATGGAAGCGCAGCCCTGGGATATTTTTAATGAGAATGGTGACTTCCTGTTTAATTCCCGAGGCTTGTCTCTTGTGCCTACCATACCCACGCTGACATCACAAGATACCGCCCATGACTGGGGAGGGGGTTCACCAGACTGGCCTAGGGTGTCCCCTGCAGGAAGCTGCCACATGGAGAGGCTACAGCCAGCCTCACTCCCAACCCCAAGCAACTGCCCACCTTTTGCAACTCCTGAAGATCACAGCTTTCTGATCCCTGCCCCCACCACTCCTAGAAGGGTCCTCTGTTGTGGTCATTCAATAAATGATATTTCTTAATTAGGAATCTAGCTCTTTCTTATTCAACTAGACTAACAGGCACCCTATGCCCTGCTTGGGTGTGATAATTTTGAGTTGGAGACAAGGAAAAAGGAGTGGATGAAAGGGAGTAAAAGTCTTCAACCATAATACTAGATTTCAGCTATGCCCAATGTGAAAATGGAAAGGGGAAATGGAAAAATAAAATTGGCTAAACATGCTTTAGGTTTGTCTTTCCCTCCATTTGGGAGCTTTTTGTATTTTCCTCTCCGATTTGGGAAAAAAATGAAAGAAAACAAATTTCTCTATCATTTAAATAAAATAGATCTTTATGTCTCTAAATATAATACATCAAACAATGTTAGGAGTAAATAAATTATACACAAAGATACTTGTTTGTTAGATCGTTAAAGGCTGTTTGAAACATAGAATTTCTGCCGATGAGGTGCCTCACACCTGTAACTCCAGCACTTTGGGAGGCCGAGGCAGGTGGATCACCTGAGGTCAGGAGTTTGAGACCAGCCCGACCAATATGACAAAACCCTCTCTCAACTAAAAATACAAAAAATTAGGTGGGCTGTGGTGGCAGATGCCTGTAATCCCAGCTACTCAGGAGGCTGAGGCAGGAAAATTGCTTGAACCCGGGATGTGGAGGTTGCAGTGAGCTGAGATTGAGCCACTGCACTGCAGCCTGGGCGACAGAGGGAGACCCTGTCTCAAAAACGACAACAAAAAAGAAAAATATAATTTCACTTTCTGTCAGCCTCACATCCTCCATGTTTTTTTGGGTTTATTTTTCCAGATATTTTATACCTCCAGTTATGACTCTGTTAGAAAGATACCATCTTGGGGCCAGGCATGATGGCTCACTGCTGTAATCTCAGCACTTTAGAAGGCTGAGGCAGGTGGATCACCTGAGGTCAGGAGTTCAAGACCAGCCTGGCCAACATGACAAAACCCTGTCTTTACTAAAAATACAAAAATTAGCCGGGCATGGTGGCAGGTGCCTGTAATCTCAGTTACTTGAGAGGCTGAGGCAGGAAAATTGCTTGAACCCAGGAGGCAGAGGTTGCTGTGAGCCGAGATCGCACTATTGCACTCCAGCTGGGAGACAGAGTGAGACTCTGTCTCAAAAAAATAAAAAGATACCATCTTGGCTTTCCCGTATTATACAGATCCAGAAGAAAGACCAACTTAGGATCTCTATGCACATGATTATTTCATATTTTTTGGAAGAAAATAAACTAGTGTTGAATTTAAGAACATGCTCAGAAGTCATGATTTTTGAGGAAGGAGGCTATTTATTTAAATCGA